GTTTATGTGTCTCCTAAGCAGGAGATGAGGACAGGAGCCGCCTACAATACTTATTTATTTGTGCCAGACTACAGGACAAAGAGGTTAAGGTTTATTGCTAAGGTTAAGTTGAGGGCTAGTTATCGTTTAAAAGGGCTAAGTTTAGGGTTCGTGTCAACCGTAGGGCATGGTTACGGGTTACAGTTAGCGTCACCAGCGTTAATTAGGTGGGGCAAGGGGTGTTCCGATTCTCGTATCCTGTTTGAAAGTTATGTAAGTAATATCTGCCAACGGCAATTTCTTTAGGCAATTTCTTTAGCTAATTCCAACTGAAGATAAATACCAATGGAAGATTACTGACATTCTAGCCCATATTTACGTGCTGGTACACATACAATAAATAGATTCAATAAAAATAACGTTGGTCTACCACTTTGGAAACCCCTAGCCCCAGAGTTCTGTCTTACAGGCCCCGTGGTATCAGTTCTTTTTTGTTTTATTATTTAGTCTGTTAGTTTTATTTTAGTTTTAGTGTAGCCTAGTTGTTCATTAGTTTGTTATATTAAATGTAGCTTAATTTAGTTTGGTATATAGTTTTTATTTAAGTATATTTAACTAACCTTGGCGTTATCTAACTAAAATTAAAATTATTAAAACTAAAAGTAACTAGGGACTAGGGTATCTAAAGTGGTAGACAAGCTTAATTCTTCCCGGAAATTCTTATACAGGCCAAACTAGGCGCAGACCGGCCCTGGCCCCCTGTATACATATGGGTTATTACAGATTGAAATTTTGGTGAATAAAATCTTTTGTGGTCTTCATTTTACCCCTTCCATGTCCCGTTTGCTGGCATCTCTAGACTGGATAAACTTCGCATATTAAAGGTTATTGTCATATAACTCTGCAGTACTGGTTGTTTAACCACCTTTTCTATATGGTGCAGCGTCGGACTATGTAAAATATTATTTTTTGCTATCTATCTGTAGAATGAGGCGGTCCGGCGAAAAGATATGGAGATAATGAAGTTGCGCAAAGATCTCGATAATGCCAACTCTGCCTTCGAAAATGCCGAAACTGTACTTCGTCGGAAGCACAACACCATGATTAATGAGATGACCAGCGAGGTTGAGAATCTGCAAAAGCAGAAAGGAAAGTACGTATTCCAGCAGTGAAACTAAAGATAAATGTCCTTTCGATTGTTTTATCTATTACTAAAAAACCGTATTTCTTCCGATTTGACTCTTTTAAGGGCTGAAAAGGACAAGAACCAGCTTATGATCGAGATCGACTCTGTCCTCGGACAACTCGATGGAGCCCTCAAAGCCAAGGTACAAAACTGTTTCAGAGGAAGACTTTCCGATTTTCTGCCCTTCCTTACACCCGGGTGCTCAAACGCACGTGTTTTTGATCTTTTGTAGCAATCTGCGGAATCCAAGCTGGAGGGTCTTGAAAGTCAGCTTGCTCGCTTGAAGACTCTCACCGACGACCTTCAGCGCCAAGCGGCCGATGCCAATAACATGAAAAGTAAACTGGCCGCGGAGAACTTCGAGTTGACTCGAGTCAAC